ACTATGTCAAACTGGCTTCAAAGCCTGGCACACTTCCTGGGGGCTTGATCGGGACTAAGGATGGGACGATATACGATATTATCGCAAATCGCAATAAAAAACACTCGGGAATCAGGATACACATCAATACCCTCACATGACTTGACTTGAAAAGGCTGTTTAGCTCGCCAGCATACAGTCCTCTATTGATCCTCCTGATTTCCAGTCATTCCAAAAGCCTAAGCCAAGATGTGATTAGTGATTAGTAGTGATTGTCAGTCTGTGGTTTCTGTTGCTGCTAATTACAAAATATAAATCATAATCGCACGGTTGGTTGGAAGAAATCGTCTGGTCATAAAGTTTATTTACAGCCTATAATCTCATCAGAGACAGACATTCAGGCTTGAAAGGGGGACACACAGAGTGGATGAGCTGACTTTAACGCCCCCGATGAATCACTGGATTCCCCCTCAGTCTGTGTGAAGAAAGCTGTCTGACATGAAGCCGTCTCTTCTTTGAGAGCTGTCACTCACACACACATCACTTTATTTCACTCTTTCTGGGGAAGCGAGGCGAGTCTGTATGTTTATTAGGAAGAGTAACATTAGATCTGAAAGAGGAAAAGAAGGAAGAGGGAGAGAAAGGGATGGATTCCTGTTGGCCAAGCAGGATAAAAATGCCTCAACAGCCCCCCCATCACACCTCCCTCTGCCTCGCCCTTATCAATAATGAACAAAGAGAGGAAAACCCCTGGTGGCAGATCACTGTGGATTATTGCTCTTTGTGTGTGTGTGCGTGTGTGCGTGTGTGCGTGCGTGCGTGCGTGTGTGTGTTGTGAGTGTATTATGCCAATGTGAGCTCAGCACAATTATAACTGTATCATCTATTGAGAAGAATAGGGATTCAAGGATTGTATTCAGGGCTATTCATTATTGTTGCTCTCTATGGAGAAGGGCACACACACTCACTACAAAGCCACGTGCACACAGACAGCCTGTGGAACTGACTGTCTGTCTGTCTGTCTGTCTGTCTCTCTTGCCACTGAAATAAGCTGTAGTATGAGGTGTCTGTGCAAAGTGTCACTGTTGGAGACAGGTTTTAGTAAAACACTTCCTGTTTGAACGGAAGAATCCAGTCTGACATCTGGTGGCCATGGCTTGCTATGACAACAACAAACATCTGTAATCATCCTAAAAACCTTTGAAATCCACAGTTAAAAGGATGTTCTGACCAAATTTAATACTAGATATTAATTATACAAAGTATATGCTATATTCGAATTACAAACTCTACTGTTTTTACTCCACAACAAATGAATGTTCTTTACCTTTTTGTACAAAAAAGGAAATGGACTGTTTTATTTTTTTCCAGCTATGAGCATCTTGTTAATTTCCTTTGTGTATTGTATTGTGTATGTGGGGCCATAGTGTAAATCAACAGCATGCTCAAAAATTAGCATGCTGTTCAGTCTACATACTGACTTTTTTTTAGTGTACTTAAAAAAAGGATACTCCACTGATTAGGCATTGTAAGCCTGTAAGCAGGGGTGTTTCCAGAGGGAGGGAGAGGGGGTTAAATCTGATTGGCCACCCCAAGTGCCACCCCATTATCCTCACCTCTTACATTCTGCCTGTCTTTCACCGGCTTTAGCCGGCTCTGTTAAAGCTAAAGTGATGATATTGGTATCCTATGAAACTAGATGACCTAACACATCAACCATATCATGCTAGCATGTCGGGATGGAGGCTGAACAACGCTCCAAAGTTAGGCCAAATATTGGTGATGAAAAATATGGCATGGCCATTTTCAAAGTGGTCCCTTGACTTCTGACCTGAAGATATCTGAATGAAAATGGGTTGAGTCTCCTCTTTGCAGACATGCCCACTTTGTGCTAATCCAATGCTGTTTTGCACGTGGTATAAAAGTGTTACTTTCACCTCGTGTATTTGAGTATTTCTGCATAAATTGGGAATGTCTGAGATGAGGAGCCGGCTACAGAGGTCTGGCCCCCACCCCAAGATTTGTTTGTTGTCATTTTCAAATTTCAGCACCAACTGACGTTATCATACCTCACACAGCATCCTCTGGAGCCACAAAAGGGTTCATACAACTTTTTTCACATATGTAATTGTACTCACCAAGACCTGTAAACAGATGTTGATGTGAATAATTGGCACATTTCCCCTTTAATTTAGATTATTTTGCAGCTTGACACACTACAGAGTAGCTTACTGAGTTGTGGCACAGCTGCATGCGGTTTCATTTCCTCAAAAGTTTTTTTCTGGAATTTAGTCTTTAACAATGACCTCACCCTGCATTGGTGCAGTAGGGGTAAGCATTACATCAAACTAATATGGCAAATTTTTAAGTCATCCTGACCTTCTGCCCCTCCTATTAAACCAAACAGCCTTTCTCTTCTCAATATTTCATTGATTTCCACTTCACTGCAATATGGTTCCCTCTAAAATCCTGCTTTAACAGGAATTACATCATAACTGAGAAGTAAATTTCATGGTGTTTTTAAAAAGTACACGATTCAGGGATAACCTTACAAAGAAACAGTAGTTTGTATACAATATGCATATGATAAAAACAGGAAAAATAACACCAAAAACCATTGTTGGTCTTCATGTTTCAAGAATATCATTTGGCTTAACATGTCTTTTTCTAATGTGTTCAATTTAATCTTGTGTATCATCAACAGACACTGTACTGTCTTTTGCTTAAATCCACCTCTCTCCTCTCTTTCTCTTCTACCCGCGCTGTCTCTCTGATGTGTCTCCTCATCTCTCAGCCTGAATTCAATACGACAACACGCACACACACGCGCACAAACACAATAATGTGCCTCCAAAATGGTTACATCCATGCACCCAGAGGTAATACAATACTTTTATAGCTAATATTCCCTTTCAGTCAGCCATTAAAGGCATACTGGAAAAGGGAGCGGCTTTATAACCCCACAGTGAGGGCTCTATAACTGTAAATTATAATAGGCAAAGAGAACTGGTGGTTACAGGAGATAGGGGTTAGTAAGCACCAGTGGGTTGCTAATGGGACCAAAACAATCAGCTCAGTTGTGAGATATACAGTAAAAGTAGCTACGTATTTAAATGGTTATGGAAATTTTAGATAAGTGATAGTATGAGAGGCGTTTTTCTTTCGGTTATGGTTCATCTAATGTCTCAGAGTGAGAGGAGACAGATGAGAAGGATCAGAGAGGAGAGAGACAGTGAAGAAGAGGGCCGCCTGTCTATATTTAGCTACATGTTTATACTGTGAGATTTGCATGTTACATTCCTCATTGCAGCGATGGCTATCATGTGCAGGCAAAAGCAGACAAAACGGTGATGTTGCCATGTGCTGCTTGGTTGGTTTTAGTCAGAGAGGGTGTGAACTTTGAACCATTGAAGCACTTCAAAGATAACTGGTTTGCGTGTGTGAGCCGACAGATTGTAAGTGGCTTTAGCTCTCACGGTTAATCACGAGAGCCAGGAGATTTTCCAAAATACTCAAACAAATCAATGATTATTCCACTTTTATTTCGCTATAAATTTCTAAATAAAAACTCACCGGTAATATCTGAAATTTGTGGGCGAAACATAAAAGTTCATTAAGTCAAGTTTCACACTCATTCAACCGCATCTCAAAAGCTTCCTCCACAGACAGAGTTTGCTCAGTGGAGTTTTTTGTTAAAATATAACAAGAAATGAAGTTGAAGATGAAAACTGAAAAAGATATGCAGCATTTTGGACCTAATACTTTTTCATCTTATTTCTACATGCATGGTAGTGCATATGAGCCTCTCCGTGTGTAACTGTTGGCTTTGAGGAGAGCTCCTGAAATGGCTGTTTTTGTCATCTACATCGTGGAATTAAGGATTTATTTCTGCCAAACAGAATCAGTGATTGCTGGGACAACGGAAACAGTAACACAGACAGTTTTGTCGAGCTTTTTTCTGTCGCATTTGAATGAAGTTATAATGTTACGAGGTAAAATGACCGTTTTTGTCTATGGAGTCTGGTGGCGAGTGATATCTCTGTAAGAATTCTATCCATAATAGAATTAGAACAACAATCTGAGCCTGTCAGTGGCAAAAACAAGTCCTTTTGGTGGACGTATTTTGACAGGCACAAGAATTACATTGTGGCCATTGCAGCCCGAATACTCTATTTAACTCAGTGAATTAAGGGTTTACTTCAACCAAACCTGTGTTGGAAAGACTAACAAAGATAATTTTGCTGAGTTTTATTTAGTTTCTGTCCAGTTTGAAGTGTGTTTAATAATTATCTATGAGGCCGTAGCTCCCAGTTGTTTATGTCTGTGATGCTAGTTTTCATGCATAACATCTAGTAGCAGTGAATTCTCTACATAATGTTTAAAATCTGCTTAACATGAAAAACAACAAAAACTACCTATTCATTTTGAACTGATTACAGTCAAACTTCATTTTCACTTTC